CAAACAGTTTGTTATTATATATAATCCGTATATTTCTATCGATCAATGCTATTCACAGAAGCCTGTCTCCTGATTCAGAATATCTGTGATTGATTATAGCAAATCTCCCTAAATTTCGATCAATATTCGGTTATAATGCATAATCGTCGCTAAATATCTATATTATAACCATTAATGTAGGGAATTGCGATATACATTATCCTTAAAGTTCAAAACCGGATATGATTGTCTCACAATTTCTTCATAAATGAAAGACAAGTTAGTAACTCTATGTTTTTATTTTCAATAACGTGTTACTTTATAAATACAGGTATGCTATATTGTATATTTGTAGCAAAGCCCAGAGGGAGGGGAGAGGGATGTTAGAAACCAAAAAATTGAGTACGAAACATTTGCCATTTTCGATTTTCATTATTTCGTAAGGTCAGTTCCCCGCATCTTATATTAATGTAGAAAATGGAAAGATTGTTGATTAAGAAAATAAACGGAAAGTGCCGAACAGTTTCAGATTTTATTAGTTAGTTAGCCTAAGGAATGATATTTTGGATATAGAGAGCTCACGGAAAGTTACGAACCTTTTCGGATTTTATTAGTTAGTTTATCACCATGGATGTTTCACCTTTAATTCATTAACCTGGCCTAAGGAACGGTGGTAGGTCGCCAGCTGTGTGTTATATAAACTTTTGTTCAAATTCATTGTAAATCTATTTTAAACAATAACCGAATTTCTCATTTTCGGCATCTTGATAAATAAACTTGATCTATTTGCACGAGAAAATGTAAATTATGTTGTTTAGACAAGTTGTAAATTATCCTATCTGTACCTGTTTAATTTGTTAGTGCCTGCGTAAATTAATATACATAAAAATGTGTGCCTGGAACTAAATATTTCACATTTATTGAATTTCATTGTTATAATGTATGATTGATATTATAAATACTATAAAATACTGTTATTACTTATATACATGTAGCTATCAAGTTATAAATAAAACACATGCATAAATTTTACTATCATCATCATCACGGTTATCTCAAGCATTAATTATCATTACCATTATCATTGTCATAATCATTGCATCATCACCACAATGATAATAAAAATAATAATAATAATAGTAAATATCATAAAGGTCATCATCACGAAGTAAATCATTATCATCAGCATTAGTACATATCATTATTATAATTATCATTATCGTCATCTCATCATTATCATTAGTTAGCATCGTGGTCATCATCATCATTATCATCATCATCAATCAATTAATCAATCAACGTCATCACCATCTTTATCATCATCACAATCATCATCGTCGTCGTCATCATCCTTATCCTCAATCAATCAACGTCATCACATAAACAATCATCAATTATCATCATGTTAAATCTTCATTATCGTAATCATTTATCATATATCATCATCATCATCATCATAATCACATTATTTCTACAGTCTTATGTTACGTGTAATGTTTAATTAGTGTACTGAAAAGCATCTCTTTAATTGAACCTACATAAAAAAGAACAAAATAAAGCTGCGTCACATTTCACTCTTAGGTTGACGATAGAATACCGGTCACCGGAGTGATTAAGAGCAGAGTCTTGCGCCTGGAGGCACCTCACCACCGTTAAGTAAGATTTCGCTCATGTGCTACCGCTTTGTCGTATAATAATTTACATTTATGACTTTAAACGATAAACATTACAATATTTTAATCAGTTACAGACTAGTCAATACAGATTAATATACACTTGTTGTTAATTATGTAACCTACTCATTAATTTCGGCGAATTGTTTAGCCGAATAATGTTTTATATTTTAATCTGCAAATACTCTTTGTATGTACAATATTCTTTTGATATACCCTAGGCGACGAAACATTTCTAAAAGTAAATATAATTATCACCTATTTATACACTACAAATAGACAGTAAATACTTAACAAAATTATAAAACATATACATAGAAATGTTGTACAAAAGAAAACTTCGTCTCGTTATACGTACATACTATTTTGTTAAGATTTTAAATATGGCAGCGGAGTAAATTATGTAGTATCCACTGGCGTCTGCTCTATGTTAATTATTACGGACAGACGAGTTTCGTGGTTAAAAGGTCTAATTGCGCAATGGAACGTACTCGTTTATGTTATCAAAAGTTCAAAATACGATTTATTTGTAAAGAATGATAAAGGTATGAACTGCAGGTATGCCTTCGTACTCGAGTGAAATGATTATTTGCAATATCGCACGTTTATATCACGCTTATATTACCACTTTTGTAAACGGAATGCAGCAGAAAGTATTAATTATTAAGATTTTGACAGGTTATATGGCCCTATAAACCCGTTTGTTTGTAAATATAACCCAAGTAGCTAGGGGAGGGTGGTATTGCAAGCAGTCGTTTATATACATATAACGTATATATAAAGCGAATTAATAATGCAGCATAATTCTCCTTTTAGAGAAATCATTAAATTACTTCGTACTTATTAAGCAGCCGAGTAAATGTATATGGTTTAAAGCTACAGTCTCACTTACATCCCGGCAGAGCCCCGGTAGACGTCCGGGGTGATCCGGGAACGACCGGGGTAAGACCGGGAACAACCGGGGTACATCCGTAACTCTGCCGGCAAAGTCCTGGATGAGCCGGGATGATCTGGGAACATCCGGCATTCGACCGCGGATGGAATAAAATATTTAATATCACCGGGGTAGTACGGGATGATCCGGGAAGGTATAGCTTTGCCGGTTTGATCCTTAGCTCTGCCAGGAACGACCGGGGATTTAGCGGGTAAGCACCGTAGCTCTGCCGGCACAAACCGGGGATGATCCGGGGTATGATATAGCCGGTAGAGCTACGGTAGAGCTACGGTACAGCCCCGGTATATGCCGGCAGAGCCCCGGTAACTACAGGCAGAGCCCCGGAGGATAAAGGTAGAGCTACAGTTGATCCCGGTAGAGCCCCGGCAAAGCCCGGATCATTTCAAAAGAGTAACGACAATTTGCGATGATTGCACGTGTTTGTATTAAAAGCCTTCCCATTTCCCTTCTATCCAGTATGGCATAAAGATTTTTCAGAAAATCATCATGAATTACTATTCTGGGACAATAGATATTATATTAAATAAAAATTATGTATCAATGTTATCATTTTCGGGCGTTTTCAATCCACCGGGGCTCTACGGGGGCTCTGCCTGGATCGTCCTGGGCTCTGTCGGGACTCTACCTGGATCGACCGGGGCTCTGCCTGGGTCAACCGGGGCTCTTCCCGCGTCATCCGTGAACGACCGGGGAAGCACCGGCATGAACCGTAGCTTCACCTGGGCTCTGACTGGATGATCCGGAGCGCATCCTGGGTGGTTAGTAGGGAACTACCGTAGTGCTGCCGGGGTAAGTGTGACCGCAACAATAATTTCATCCCGGATCGTCCCGGATTATCCTGGTAACTTACCGGGATGGTCCTGGGCTCTGCCGGGAGTAAGTGAGACCGCAGCTTTATATAAACGTCATGATTATCCAATTAAAACATCGTTATAAACCTGCTGGATTACAAGTGATACTTGGTTATTTAACCCGGCAGAATCTGAATAGCTAATATTATACAACCATGCATATCGATCTTATCTCCATATATTGACTTTCAACAGTGGCACGTGACCTTCGTGCACGTGATCTTATGCTGACTTTAAGAATATACTATGGAAAGGGAAATAAATAAAACAATTGAAAATAGCTCTGCTGTATATACTTTATAGATGTCTGTTCAGATATATATATATGTGTTTATTTTTCTTCCTTAAGTATTGTATTACACACCAGTCATACAATAAAGTCCAATATTCAAAGCAGGGAGAGTCGTGGTCAATTGTGGTATTTAAAAATAGCCACTTCCATAATTCACTTATTCACCATGAATGTGTTGAAAATGACCTCTTCGTTTTCCAAATACAATTTTGTCATTTATAATTAACTTTTTAATAAAAGACACAGTAATTAAACGATATAACTGCATCATGTTTTGTTATAACAAGCACATGTTACTTCCGTCTATTGTAGCCTTCTTGTAAACCTACATATTTCAACTTGTATAGTTCTCTAGAGCCTAAATATTTTGACTTGTACTCTTTTTTTTTTGCAAAATCAGGAAGTGGACTCGTTAATGCACTGTGAAAAAACTTATTCACGTAAATTTTGATGAAGCGCACAAATGTCATCACGAAACTATTACACTCCTTAAAGAAAATCACCAAAGTTTGTTTAACAAAAACCTGTAGTTTGTCAAGTCTTAGTGTTAGGAGATTTCCTGTCGTGCCGTGATATACCACAATCATTATCCATACATTTACATATATTGTTAGAATTGCACACAAAAATGTGTCTAGCGTTTTAACGCTTCATTTACATACAATTTTGATACTGCACACACGTCTAGTATGTCCTGGGTTTATCAATCTCATTCAGAATTTTTTTTGTGAAAGCATTATAAAAATGAAAGGAATCATGTAAATTACCGAAAACATCAGACATTCTTTACATTTTTTTAACAAGATGCTGTTGTACTTTTAGACTTGATGACAATGCCTATTTTTGCCCCCTTGATGAATAAATCGCGTGTTCAAGGAACCATCAAATTCTGCATTGGAGCACACTGGGACAAAACGTATCGTCAATTTCATAATGTTTTCTGAACTGAAATAAGGGATCTCACAAAAGTCATGTTGTTTTTGCTGTTCCGGAAATGTAAATTCATGTTCAATCAGTGAATGTACTTTGTGCTCTGTATTTGTTGCGCTAACCTTCAAAATACTAAAAATGCAATGATTAACTTCCCGAGTAAATAGCCAGTAGCCATTCCTCGCCGCTTTTAACAGTTATTACGTGTATAAAACGCTTATTTCAGGACAGTAAGGCGTATACCAGATAATAGTAATTCGATTATAAAGGCATATCTCTCACAAACACAATTTTAAGTTTTATGTGTCTTTATTTTTCAGATATTACATGTCCCTGTAAGCAAATGACAGAATAATGGCAAATAACTTTTCGGAAGTTAACAATCCGGAAGTAGGGGCGGACGGGTACACTGCGGTCACGTCGTTATACACTACGGAGAATAACACCATCAATCCAAATGGAACTGGCGTTACCTACGAGCGCAACGAGACGCTTGCTAAAGCGGAAATTGCCATACAAGGTGTTATTCTGTATATGGCATTGTTTGGAAACCTTATTGTTATAATAGTTCTTCTACATAGAAAAAGAAAGTTGAGCAGAATGCAAATGTTCATTGTACATCTTGCAATAGCGGATATATCAGTTGCTCTATTTCAAACATTACCACAGCTTGTTATGGATATAACAAATAGATTTGACGGAAATAATTTCCTGTGTAAACTATCAAAGTATATGCAAGTGGCAACAATGTACAGCTCTACATATGTGTTGATCATGACAGCACTCGATCGATATATGTCAATATGTCACCCTTTAATGTCACAAACATGGACAACAAGGCGTGTTCATTTGATGGTTTTAATTGCTTGGATATTATCTGGACTATTTTCTATACCGCAGCTGATTATTTTCTCGTACGGAAAAAGTCCGTATAACGGAGAAAACGACTGTATAGACAACTTCGATGTCGTGAACGCATATTGGGAGTTACAAGCTTATGTTGTCTGGATTTTTATGTCTGTTTACGCGATCCCTTTTGTCATATTAACAGTTTGTTATACCCGGATATGTCATATAGTTTGGATTAGCGCGAGTGCCAAGGAGACGACTAATTCCACGAAACAAAGGCGATATCTGAGATTCTATAAATCGAATTCTGACAGCAGAAGCACAACAACTAGCGTGCGAAATGAGATTAGAAAACCAAGAGCACATTCCAAAAAGATGTCAAAGTCTAAAATAAAAACAGTGAAGTTAACGCTTACAGTTGTGCTGTGTTTCATTATATGCTGGGCACCATTTTTCATTACACAAATGTGGTCAGCATTTGATTTAAACGCACCATATTACACAAGTATGTATTCATTTTACATATTTCTATAATTATGTCTAACTTATGTAAGATTCAATTGGCCTTTAATTAACATCGTTTTAAGATACCACCCGAATTGTCATTATTTCTCACTATTTTAATACTTGAAACAGCCGTAAAAAATCAGAGTTGAGTAACCGTTCAGTGGAATAAACATTTTACAATTCAGGAGTACCTTTAGTGTGAAAACAAATTACTGACAGAAGGTATTCTTCAGGCATTTCTCCCTGACCATCGGTATCGGGCATTGAGCCTAATGGTCATTTGTTTTTCACTGCTACTCCAGAATTCATGTCTGATTTATAAAGTAATATGTAACTTGCAAAGAGTTTGGTAATAACTGGTTAGTTATCCAGGATACAATGTAGCTGGTTAGGTGTGCCCACGTTATACATACCCAGCAATGTGTCGAAATCGTCGTAAGAACATACTACTAAAACTAAACACACACTTATTTGTTAAGACAACTGTAAACATTTAATAAACGTTTTTGACTTAAATATAAGATTTTTTTTATATCTTGATATTTATCTTAGATTTAAGACTAAAATCCATATTTTTCTTAAGTCATATCCCAAATTATTTTATCTTAAAATAGTCATGGAACATAGTAAAGGACAATAACTTCAAAATTATGAGAAAGAAAGCTATGATTTTATTACACTGCATTCTGTCTTTATGCAATCTAGATAGCTATAACGTTTTGAAGTAAATAACTGAATACCTTTAAGGCATGCACAATACCAAAAAAGTATGGAAAATTGCAAAGGACAGTAACCCCGAAATTTGGAAAACAAGTTATAATTCTAAGACAAAGCACTTCTTCCCAATGACACTAGTTTGGTGGTTGTTAATAAAACATAATAATTAAATAACTGTAATGACTGTTATTATTTACAAATCAAAACAGTCAACCAACCTTTGTAAAGAAAGTCAAAACGTTGTCTTAATCATGGAATTAAAGGGGTTATTTCTAAATGCTCTTAATTAAAGGCTTTTTGTAGAAAGGGTTTCTGTTGTATGTTACATTAGGTAGACTTTTGTTAATTGACAATAATAAAAAAACATAATACATTTTAAAACTTTTATTAAAACTTTTATTATATGTTGTTTGACAAGCTTTTCATTTTTTCTCTCTTGAATCTAGGTCATATCATGGCAATCGCCACGTTACTTGCCAGTCTTAACTCGTGCACAAATCCGTGGATATATTTGGCTTTTTCTGGAAGGCTTTGTCATCGACAGAAACGGCCACGGGCAAAGACGACATGGATGTCTAGCGTTAACACGTACACCACTGACACTGCTGGGGAGACTATGCGCATGCGCAAGATAACATCAGATTCGGCGTCATTTACACGTTCCTTTGATGAGAAAGACGTGTGCAAATTGGCAGATGATGTATAGATAAATGTATATTTTGGATCAGACATTTGTTGCTATATGATATAAGCTTAAAAATCCAAAATGACATTGGTATTGAACAAGCCAATAAAGGCGTTTTGTAAAATTTAATGATAGTAAAAGGTGGTAACATACTGTTGTCTTAAACTGCTTTTTCGCACACATCTGGATTTTTAAATCAATCTGTGAAATACAATCATTTAAAGTAATTAAAGAAATGAATGCCGGCCATTTACAAATGTAACACATTTGTATCGAATGAACTAAATCATCATGATATCATAATTACTGGTGACGTCATGCTTTAAATTGAGGATATTCAATTTGTTCTATAAATACGGGACTTATTTTTATCCAATGATATGAACAAAAGGTTCACGAGTGCCGGTAGGTACAAAGTGTAAGATAATATGATAACTTTCATATAAAAAGAAAGTAAATCCCGTATTTACAGAAAAAGAACTTGAATTTTCCGTTTACTATAATTTTTTTCTCTTTATTGACCTTGCAATTCGAAAGACCGCCTCATTTAATTTGTGTATTGGCTGAATTGAGAAGAAAGTAATCCGGCAAATCGCCAGCGAAAATACGAAAAATATGTTTTACTCCAGTGAACAATATCTTTTATAGCGAAAATACGGAACATGAAAATATGCATTTTATCTCACAATTTCATTACTAGGTATATAATAAATAAATACATTTAATTCAATGAAATAATATATAGTTGTACATTTTCTTTTCATAACAAGAACTTTTTGGACCAATTTCATACAATTTGTGATTAATGACTAAAATAGCATTAGGCATAAATGATACTGTTACATTATTTGTTTTTCTTACACTGTACCTGACTATTGTTAAGAATAATATGACATGAAAGATGTTGTAGTTTTGTTTGAAACAATTCATAATCATGGATCTTGTAGTATATGTATACATGTATTAAATCAT